AGCAGCGTAAAAATATCATGAGAATTTAAAGTACACTCTGCAATAAAATGTATTCGTTCCATTTCGTGAAAGTGATGAATAACTGATAGCTAAATTTTCCCACCTTTATTTGAATAGGCCTTACAGAGCCTTATTTCCCAAATGGTATTCTCATCCAAGGTGGACTGCAGTTCCGAACTCGTCTAGGCCTTATCAGCACCCCAGGCTGGACTCAAACTGTGGTAGTGCAATGTATTATCTTGATACATCCGATAACGTTATACTACCACGAGGGACCTTGGGCCAAAGAGCAGATGTGAATTTAAAAAAAGGCCAAATATTTTCCCATAGCGTAAGACCTATTCATATAATTGTAGAAAAATTCAACTACCAAGCCTTCATCACCTTAACAAAATAGGGTAAATACATTTCATATATAAGATCTGATGCTAGTCTGAAAAACCTACATTTGAAAACGAAAAACTGTAAACGTCCACCAGGTTCTCCTGAATGCAGAAAGGCAATGTCCATCTTGGTTGGGGTGGGACTCTAGACGAGCGAAGGGAATGAAGAGGCCTCGTGTTGCTTGATAGACGTAATCTGACTAAAGCCTACAGATGGTCCCTTATAAGTGTAGGGAGTGAAGAAAAATATCGTATCGCGGTAACTGTATGTTTCCTCAAGCTCTTGAAGGACTGTGCTACTGTGAATGTGTTTTGTGGTTAGGCTGTGCAAAGGAAATAATTTATGTGAAAGTGGATGTGCAAGCACAGTGTATAGGCTTGCTTTCTGTTCGATGCGAATGAAGTGCGTTCCTCCAACTTTGAATAGCACTAACCAACCGTAGATTTGAGTAGGGATACCGTGAAGAGACGAGGGCGGAAAAGGAAGACGAGTAGTTTTGACATGAAAGTAAAACGCGACCAAGATATGCTGAAGTGAGTTCGGTCCAGACGCAATGATTGTGCTAAGTTTGAGAACTATTCACACTAAATCCGACTCGATTTAAACGCGAGAAGTGATGCACGCCGAAGTTAAGTCAACTGTGTAAGGCCGAATGCCTTCCCCAGGGCTTTTGAAGAAATAAACGATGAAGGATGGTTAGTTGAACTTTCCCCCAATGATATGAGTTTGCCTTACGTTTCCATCCAATTTCGCATAGCCTTAACTTACAAAAAGTATCCTTATCATGGCTGAGTAACAGCCGCTTCGAACTTGTCTCGATCTCAACACTAACCTCAGCAGGAATCTAATCCAGGTTATCAGCGCATAATCTCGGTCAGGTACCACTACACCGCAGAGATGAATTTGAAAGCAAGCTAGGCCTCTACCAAATCGCATTTGGATAATGGGATTTTTGCTTGAATAAATGTGTTTGCCAGTTTCCGTTTGTAAGTGGGGTTGTGAGACTATCGGTAAATCAGTTTGCATTATTTCGTTTCAGGTGATGAAACCCTACTTGCAAATAAAAAATAAGTAGTATAGTCAATATCTATGGCAAATACCTTAATTTCATTTGAGAAGGCGGGTCAAAGGGATTCATAGATTGACCCCATCTGATAGCGCAGTAGGGTAGCCTTGGACTTTTGTCTGGTGAAATTTGCGAAGCAAACATCGGCTCACCGTCCTACGACCCCGATGACTCCGTACTGAGCTTTCGTCCGTCCTGTGACGGACACCGTCAGAGCCAGAAGCGATTATTCACAAAAAATCGCCGAAAAACACAAAACCTAGAAATGTGGACAGCTGAGATCCTACATACTTTTTACACCTTACTTTGGGATCTTAATTAGAATACCAACTTTGCCTGGCCTTCCGTTAAAATGCTCATCTACCCTTTGATGCAAGATCACTCGTAGCAATGTGACGTAGTGGTTGGCATGTCGAGATTATACGCTGACCTGTCATGGTTCTAGTCCTGCTGGGATGCTGATCGAATTCGCATTCCACTTCTGCCTGGTCATGAATACCTTTTGGAAAGCGAGGCTATGCAAACTTCAATTGGAACGTAAGGTCTATGCATTCCATTGTGGGAGAATTCAACATCCAGTTCCTTTGTCATCTTAAACGAAATAAGATAAATAGATCTCATATATATGATTTATTGGCAGTCTCTAAATCCTCCTTATAAACGAAAAAATAATATAAATACGATGAGAAACTGGTTTTCGATGAATCTCTTGAGATAGCTTTGTTAGGGGGACTTTCATTTCGTATGAAAGGGAATGAAGAAGAGATTCGTTGATCGATCTCACCAGATGAGGATGGATAAATCTCGTTATACTGCCGTTTGGCTATTATACGATAATCATGTTGACTCAGTCCACCAGGACTCCTCCCTCGTTTCCGGTTAAAAAGTGCATATAGACGCTAACACGCTCACATACACATACGCATACACTAGAGCAAAAGTAACAGAACCAGTATAAAAGATAATTAACCAAACCACTCTTTATCGATCTATCTAGGTTTTTTATTTTTATTTTTTGGCTCGATTGAGTCTATATAAGAAGATAGAGCCCGATAGTGTTCTTGCCTTAATGCTAACGTGAGACTTTTACAAGAATGACACTCAGCTCTGATGATGTCCATCATACGATGGACAAAGCTCAGCACGTTTTCACCCGAAACGAGGGAGGAAGTCTCGTGGACTGCGTTCAGCATGAATATCGCATAAAAACCAAACGGCTGCAGAACAACGGGATTCATCCGTCCTTTTCTTCATGCACTTTCATACGAAATGAAAGTTCCTCTAACAAAGAAAAAATAAGGCTTGAACGATACTCACATTTAAATTAAATATCGATCCGTAAAATGTAACTTAAAAGAGGCCTGACCTGCCATAAACTTATCTCTGTTCCGTGTTCCCTTAACTCTCGTCATATAGCACAGCGATAATACAATCCGATTGCAAACCACTTCCGAGGTGCTGATGAGACCTAGTCGATTAAGCAATCTATTCTTACCTTGCATAAGGGGCCGTCACAACAGCTCCGCATAGCCTTTAAATTCGATCGTATAAACTAAAATGTGTCGGCACGGTCCAAGAAGCGCTACACCTTGTCCTTGACGGCTCACCGCTTATTTTATTTTTCCAGAGCCTGATTGCGGAAAGATGTTATGGATTCTCGGGCAGGCACCGATCAGAGCAACCACATTTATCTCTCAGGGAATGCTTACTATGCAGGTCGTTTGATAATGTTCAGTAGAGCAAAAGAGAACGACTGTAATTTCTGTTGGGCATGATTTGCCTCGTAAATGCCAAGTATCACAACAATTGCCACTCACATTCACTCTTACCCTAGTTGACTCTCATACTATAAAATCTCCCCTCAATATACTATTCAAGAGCCATGACATGAAACCTATCCACGAAGCTCATTGGATGAGCATTCATTCAGACACGAAATTTCGCTATTTTCAGATAATTGCAAGACAAAGAACTAGCCATTTCTCTCGAGAGCTGAAGGCATTTAATAGCATAAAAACGGAGAGTTAAAACAATAAAAAGTAAAATAGCGTGCGTCACCCGCCAAATTAGAAAGACCGGTCTTGAATAAATGATTTGAGTCAGGTGGACAGCACCGCAATACACCGTGAGCTCGGGTAAGAGAGAAGATGTGATAACAACCTTCAAAAAGGAAGGCCAGTTAATACACGGACGTCTATAAAACCGCGTCAAAAGAACCGGTCGCGGGGACTGAGAACATGCCGTTAGTGGGATCTGGGCAAAAATAGCTGGCCAGATGTCCGGCGCCCGGGCAACAGAGAGTTGGGGCCATGTCTGGAGGCAGAGTGCTCGCGAGCGAAGAAAGAGAGGCCCAGGTGAATGCAGAATTGGGATAGGCGGACATGGGAGGAAAGCATACGGAAGAGGCTGATCTCCCAGGTGGAGTGATGGGCTGTGGCTGGATTTTGGTGAAAGGGAGTGTCTGAGACCTTAAAGCGTCAAAAACTGTTGGGCATTGGCACTCTGGGGAAGCAAAATAAAGAGGACCAGGCGTTTCTAAGGCCGCCGATATGACAGGCGGCCATTCGGAAGAAAAGGGTTGCCGAGTACATCTGCAACCTGTAAAGGGGTCTGAAGAAGCATTTTGTAGTTCGCTTGGATGTCTACAGCAATGACAGTACGTCTCTTGGTGATCGAGGCGGCAGTTGCTGCCAACTGTGACCGGGATTTGAGCTAGATTCGATGCCCTTGTCGGCTGCTGCTGCTGCTGCTGTTGGAGGGCAAGTGCAGCTCCAGTGGATACTGCTGTCAGATAAGCTGCAAGTCCGAGCCGAAGCCAGCCCTCGGGAACACGAGGTGGCAGAAATCTACCATGACGACTCTGGCATCCACAGCTGTCGGCCGAGCAACTGCAGACTGCCGGCTTCGTCTGGATGTTATGCGACCAAAAGGAAAGCTCTTGAGGTTATACTTAAAGAAGGATTTGCTTTGCAAAACTAATTTTATGCTGTTTGTCCCCTTAAATGAAATAGAGTAAATACATTTCATATATACATGATCTACTGTTGGGCTCGAAAACCGACTTACAAACGAAACATATTTTAGATGTATTCACCATATTTCGTTTAAGGTGATGAAGGACTGCTAGTAGAATTTTCCCACAATGATATGAGTAAAGCTGACGTTTCCATCGAATTTCATTTAGCCTTGCTTTCCCAAAAGTTGTCCCCATCCAGGCTGAAGTGGACTGCAGTTTCGACCCCGCATCGGTCTTATCAACATCCCCAGCGGAAGTCGAACCGTGACAATGCAACATGCGAGCTTGACACGTTAACCACTAGGCCACATTGCCACTAGTGCCCTTGCGTCGCAGGGCAAATGTGAATTTCAAGGAAGGCCAGGCCTTTTTCCAATATCACATTCTTTACTGGGATTGTCGATGAAGGAAACATATTTTTGCTATAACAATCGACTACGTTACTTATTTTTCGCATATAAGCAGAGTTTCTCGTATAACTCAATTATTGGTAGTTTCGAAACTCTGCTTATATACAATAAATAAGTAATATAGTCGATTAAAGGCATGATGACCAAGCTGGTATGGCCTTTTGTGTGGTCGCAGTCTCCTTTCGAAGTATGGAGGTTGTTTGACCTTGTTTTCGCAACATGGTCGTATTGGTAGGAAGACTTATTGGAAGGCATCTCGTCCGGGGTCCATTGTCTGCATGATCATTTCCAAAGTTAAACCGTGGAGGTGGAACATTCCCAAACGCTTCGCCGGCATCGTCAGTGAGTATCGCCATCCTAAGCACCATACAGCTACTCAATCCTTTGACCAAACGTATGCTAAACAATTATGGTATCTCCCCTTCCGCCCTGGGTTGTCCGCGTTTCCGTTAGCATCCTATTATGCCTGCACTATTGCAATTTTTACCGTGTTTATTTAGAGT